GTTGTCTGTCCCCCAGGGAGGAGGTCACACACAGTTCCATGTAATCGGTTCCCTCTTTCCTACCCATTCTCCCTTTACCCTCCCTGTTTTGGAGTGGCTGGTGGTTTTGAGTGGCTGATCTTGCGGTTAGCAGCCAACTCGTAACCACTACACCATCAGGGATCCTTTGGCCCTTATATATCCACTAAAACCCTTATTAGTATCACCATGGAAAGAACTGGTTGATATCTTGAGCCCTGGTTGTATAATGGGTTAAGCACTGAGCTGCTAGCTGGAAAGTGGACTGAATATTAGCTGCTCGAAAGGAGAAAGATGAGGCAATCTCCTTCCCTAAAGATTCACAGCCTTACAAAAGGAAACAGAGGCAAGCTCTAGGAGGCAAAGGCATAGATAGGGAGAGTAACCGAGGTGTGCACTTATGTAAATACATTTACCCATAACAATAGTGGCATTGGCCCATGTACATATATTTATAAGGCAATACACAGGCTGCAGACGGGCCTTGGGCCTCAGCTCATACCTTCCCTCAGTACAAGAACACTTTGTTCTAACAAATTGGCATTCTGTGATGCTCACCCCCCAACATACACGATCGCTGAAGACAAAGTGGGTGCTTAAGCAGATGTGGGGTCTTAAAGCTTGAAGTTAAACAAGTGGCCACCCAACAGTGAAGCAACAAGCCCACAAGGAAGAAGCACACTAGCGGGTGCGATCGTGAGGTGTCAGCGAGACCAGGCAATGGGCATCAGAAGATTCACAACAAACATAAACAAACAAGAATGCATTGGTGAGAATGGAGGGGGGTTGGAGCGGAAGCCTACAGCCCATCTATGGACAATGGAACATCCCCCCACAGATGGGTCAGAAGGAGGGGATGAGTCAATAAGGGTACAGTAGAACACTAATGGGTCATGTAATATACCTCTGATCCCTTGAGGCCTCCTCACCCCACCCCTGCTATCATGACCCCAGTGCCACTTCCCAATCTAGACTAGATGGGAGCATGTACAAGAGATGAAACTCACAACACATGGACCCAGGAACAGGAATGGGACTAGAGATAAAGGGTAGGAGGCAGGGAGGGAGAGGTGGGGAGCATCGATCGCAATGAAGGGCACATCACCACACACCCCCATTAAGGGGTAAGAACAACAGAAACCAGAGGGGAAGGGAGACATGGGTCAGTGTGAGATTTGAAAATAATTAATAATCTATAATCTATCAAGGGGCCACAAGGGTTTGGGGGTAGGGGGTAGGAAGGGAAAAAAAGAGGAGCTGATTCCAAGGGCTCAATAGAAAGTAAATGACTAGAAAAGAATGATGGGATATATGTACGAACGTCGGATACAATTGATGTATGGATTTAATGAGAGTTGTAAGAGTCCCCAATAAAACGATAAAAAACAAAACAAAACATTGACAGCCTCAGAAATGCTAGGGCATAGTTCTATTGTCCTGTAGGTAAATGAACCAGAAAGGTCATCAAGGCGACAGTGACCGGAAGACAGTGAGCTTTCACTTTCTCAGCAGCAGTGGTCACGGGACACTGCTTTCTCCTGGAGACTCTCCTGTCCTGGTTTCCCTGGTACGTCTCTCTGTATTCCTCTTCCCCACGGCGAGCTCTCCATCTCCTATGAAAGTTTCTATTTCTCTATTTGACCACTAGGTACTAGGCCTTTGTTCCTTCTTTAACTTCTCATTCTCTTTTAAACACCATCTATATTGTGCCCAGTGCCTACATTTCTATATTCAGCTCAATGCTGCTTTTGACTTGCATACCCAACTGCTTATTTGACTTGCATACCCAACTGCTTATTTGACATGACCTTTATAGACCTCAAAAGAAATGTCCCAGAACTCAAACCTATCTGTAGCCTTAGATTTTCTTCCACTGTAATCAGCACCCCCATTTACCTGGTAGTTTATGCCAGAAACTTTGGAGCCATCCTTGTTTCCTCCCTTTCCTCTCTAAGCCAATCCCCTGTCACGCCCTGGTTGTTCCCTCCAAGGATACTTAACCAATCAGTTTTCTAGAGGTAGCCCAGCCATTCTCTATCCCTCAAACTTTCTAAGTTCTCTATACGTCCAGTAAATTACCCACAGCTGGCACAGTGGTCTTTAGAAGCTGTGTAAAAAAAATGCCCTTTCTCTGTCTCTCAGATATTTTTAAACTTTCCTGTGCAGCACTTTATGTAATTTTTTGATTGTGCTCAATACTAAATTTCATGAAGGTAGGTGTCAGCCACGTTTATATCTCTAATAATATAGTAAAAAGGTCCAATTCATTACTGGGCTCAAACATTATTTAATTCAGGCATCAGACACTAAGGCAGACAGAAGGGGGAGAGAAAATATGTCAAATGTGTATTGTATTAGAAGGCAAGTGCTAGCAAAACAATAAAGTCAGAAGGAAATCTGTATGAAGCGTTGAGGAGATGAAGCCTACAGTTTTCTGAAGGGGAGTTAGGTGACTTGAGTGAAGCCCTAAAAGGAAGTAAAGGAATGAAAATACCATCTGGGGTAAACCCATTTGCCGACAAGGAAAACATTTAGTGCAAAGGTCCCGGGGAGGGCGCATGCCTAGTACATCGGAGAAAGGTCTGTGTAGTAAGAAGCACAGGATGGGAGACAGTCAGAGGGGAAAGGAGTAATGGCAATGTCAGGTTATGTCGGGCCTCACTGTCAGGAATATTGGCTTTAAGACCTGGGTCTAGTTGTAATTGGAGAGCTGTATGAAAAGGACAGACAAAATGTGACATGTTTTAACTGGATCATTCTGGTTGCTGTGTTCAAAGTGGTTCTGGCAAGAGCTTTTGTTAGAATTGGAGATCAGGAGAGGTTGTTATGGCTAATTTCTAAATATATTCTGAAGGCAGCAGAGTCAAGCCACTCTGTTGTCAGCTGAAATGGGAGTTGTGAGAGAAAGAGAACCATAAAGTTGACTCCAAGGATCAAAGACTGCTTCTTTCGTCACACCCATCTCTCAGCTGAAAAGGTAAAGCTCATTACAGCTGTTGCCAAATCATATTAAAATGTGCCTGGTACAAAATATTGTTTTGCCAGTATGACAAGTTAAAGAAAATCAGCATCCAGTCTCTTATGAATGCAGAAGAAAGTGTCCTGGAGAATAGAAAGAATATTTAGGGTAGGATCTCCATATAGTAACTAACCTTTCAAGCTGAAAAAAAGCACTTTCAAACCGGTCTTATTGGATTGCTGATTAGAGTTCTCCTTAGCAGCTAGTGGTACTTAAAACTGAATCCAACAACTACGAAGTCTTAAAATAAGTTGAGACACAACACACACACACACACACACACACACACACACACACACACACACATTAATCTTAAAAGTATTCCAATACCACACTCCAAAGAAATACCTGAAAATGGGGAAAGTTTATTTGTATAAATATACTTAGAAGACCAATTATGGGGGGGAACTAAGTCTTTCACAAATGAGAAATCTATCATATAGTAGATTACATTAGCATTACTAATAAGTAAGAACTATCCCAATGTGTAGAGTCCATATTTATTTGTAATGATGTGAGATACTATGCCAACATGGGGGAGCCTTGATGGCTGTTAACTGGTAGGTCAGCAGTTCGCTTTGTTCTGAGGGAGAAATTTGCCATTCCTCCCCTGCAGGAGGACAGGCTCTCTACTCCTGTAAGGAGTTAGTCTTAGAAGTTCACTGGGGCGGTTCACTCTGCCCTCTAGGGTTGTTCTGCGTCGGAATTGGCTCCATGGCAGAGAGAGGCCATTTTGAGAATGTTAACAAAAAGTACTGTAGCAAAGCAAACTCACACACATGTGAAATTCATAACTGGGTGATCATTTCTACAATAATAAAAAGAAAATGTCCTTAAAAGTGTCATGAAATTTTAAGCTCTTTTATGCAGGTATTAAGAAGTGGAAGCACTTCATTAATTCTGAAACTTTATTATTAGCACCACGCTCTAACCAACTGAGCTAACCGGCCGATGGCTGAAACTTTATTATATATTTTCTTAAAAGTATATAAAGTACTATGTAACCTTAGGGACTTTCAGGATGTTTGTAGCATTTTACTGATGTCATAATAAGAATATGACATCAAAAATATGCAAGGAGCTTTTTGCAAAACCTTTGTTGATTGAGAGCCAATTTCCAAAGTGAAAACAAAGTTAAACAAACTAGAATCTTTTAATTCGGTACGCTAGTTAAAAGCTAAGAAAATTCAATACAAGACTGTCAAGGTAGTTTACCTGATCTAGTCGTGAACCCACTATCTGAAGCTTTCAGATTTCACGAATACAATTACCTTACAGGGAATTGATGAAAACTAGCAAAAATTGTGTTCTTTTTAAGCAACTATCCTAATACATTCTAATCTTCAAACCAGTCCCACCTCCACCTGCAGCACTTTTTAAATTGTGAACAAGAAATCAGGCAGGTTTAAATCCTAAGGCTGAGCTCTCTCATGGACGTGAGATGTTTTTCCAGACACCAAGCCAGGGGGGAGGGTAAGAATAGGCGAGGAATCGATAGCTTTCCCCAATCTCTGATGGGCAGAGTGCATGAGCATGGCAGAAAGGGCAGCGACCGACGGTGCGGGACCTTCTTACCTCCAGTTTCTGTAATTCCCACACGCATAGGGGAACCGCCACCACTATGGACACCAGGTAGATAACCACAGCTAAAGGTCGAATCCACTGTCTCCAGTTCCTCCAGGTGCAAGTGCAAGGCATGTTTTCGCACAAATCAGCTCCGCGTAGTAAGGAAAAAGAGCTCAAAAGAGCTTGGAAAGGGGAGCCCTGCGCTACGGAGAAAGCTGTTACCAGCAGCACGAACCGCCTCCTCGGCGGGCACTGAGCTTTCTGTTAAGGCTGCTGCAGCCGCTCAGAGTGCTCCCAGGGAGCTGTGCGGACAGCATCTTCTCTTCCCCACCTGGCATCGACCCGGATCCTCCGTGTTGGATGCCGCTGCCCTCACCTGGGGATCGCCCTGAATTCCGCCTGCACCATGGCTCGGAGCAAGGCGCCGACCAGCTCCGGCCTCTAGAGACCCTCCACACAGTCCAGTTCTGCCCTTCAGCTGCCGGTCCGCTCGCTCTTTTCTTTAGGGGATGGGCTTCCTCCCGCCCGCGCTCGCAAATATCTCCACGGCCAATTACGGTGACAGGTAACAGGTGAGGGCTCAAGCCCGCAGACCCCAGGTTAGCTTTACTTGCTCCCACGGGCCAGCAACCAAGGCGGAACCCAGGCCTAGCGAGGGCTCGCAGTTCTCTTCCGCTTCCGTTGCCTGGAGGAGATGATTTGTCGGCAGCGCCAACACTGCCCGCCCCATCCGGCTCGCTTCTCTTCTCTGATTGGTCACTGTCGGGGGTGGGGCTGTGAGGCTGCTTGTGAAGTATAGCGAGAAAGGAAAGGAAAACAGTACTTAGAGGCTTGTAGGCCGCGGCGCTGGGCTGTCCGGATGACCCTTAAGGTGTAAGGAACACAGTCTGTATATTTCTTCTACTGACCTTATTTCATTTTTTAAAAAGCAGTCTTTCTCAAAGTGGGTGATGCCGCCCCCTAGGGGACGTTGGAACGACCCCGGGGGTGCTGCAAAGACTGATAGCTACACTTTATTCTGGATTATGAGTTATAGTTCAAAAGTTTTTTAATTGCGCTGAGTAATTATTCCTGAAAAGGGGCCAGTGACCAAGTCAGTTTGGGAACCTGTGCTTTAAAGGAAGCCAAGGCAAGGGGGGCGCGTGGGATGGTCAGAGAGTTACTTTCAAGGGAAGGAAACGGTTTTCTTCATAAAAGATGTCGGATTGTCTGTGAGAACAGATATAGGCAGCCTGCTGGAGTAAAGCAGAGAGGAATAGGAAACACTGCCTACTTTTCTTTTAAGTGCTAGAATCTAGGGGTAGGCTGCTTGGTCTTTTAGAATCATAAGGAATTTATGTAATTGTGGGAAACAACTGGAAGAAGTATATGAGGACAAACTGAACTTTTTTTAAAGAACCTAGTGCATTTTATT